TTTAATTATTCTTCATACTGGTATTTGTTTTTAAGGATGAAAAGAAATTGGTTTTTAAAATAAATACTGTTTCTATATATGACTAACACCATATTCAAAATAAATGTGTAATGACATTATTATTACACTCTTTATCCTCCTGTTGTATCAGTTATACAAAAGAACCATTAAAAAGTTTCAAGAAATCATGTAGTAATTTTGTTCTTCGCTTGGTTATTCCATTAAATCCTTGCAACCAAACCAGATTCATTTGATCAGAACTGGTACAATTTCTTATTCTGGAGATAAATATATAGGTAGTCCTTGACCTACAACCATTCATTTAGCAACCATTCAAAGTTATGATGGCGCTGAAAAGTGACTTATGAATGGTCCTCACACCTTATGACCGTCACAGTATCCCTGCAGTCACATGATCAAAATTCAGGCACTTGGCAACTGGTTTACAATGGTTGCAGCATCCCAGGGTCATGTGATTGCCATTTGCAACCTTACCAGCCAGCTTCTGACAAGCAAAGTCAACGGGGAACTGTGTGATTCATTTAATGACTGCTGTGATTCACATAATGACCATGGCAAAAAAGGTTGTAAAATCATGCAGTCACATGATGCCTCACTTAACAACTGCACTGCTTAACAAAGAATTTTCTGTAATAATATTGTTAATGATAACAACAATATTATTACAATTGCGGTTGTAATAATATTGTGGTCCAAGTCCACTTGGAGGACTACCTGTACTCTAAAATCTCATTGCCACTGCCCCCAAATAACCACATAATTCTTTTATTTATGCTATCTCTTCTATCAGTTCTTCCTGGTAGCACAATATCTTAGATATAGGAAGACGTTAACATTCTTTGTCATTTACCAAGAGCCGAATATGAACAATTAAAACTAGTTAAAAGTAACATTACAGTATGTGAACAGATTCTATAGCATATAAACTGTTTCTGTTTCCTTCTTAATTCTTAATCACAGAATGATTGTTACTGAGAAATCTGAAATGGTGAGGCAGGAATAAGCACTGTTCAGACCTGTGTAAATGTGGAGAAGGTGCATTCCAATTTCAAAGCTAGGAAAATGAAAAGAACAGCCAAGAGGTCACTGACTTGAAAAGACAGGAGAAAGAGGTTTAAGATTTAAAACCTCTTGGTTGAAGCTCTATGGCCACCTTAGTTTTAGAAGCCAATGTAAATCAAGGTAGAGGAAGTTGTTCCAAATTTCCCAAAGATAAGGTAAGTTGATCTCAAGAAATCTCATGAAACTTCTACATTTGCTCACACCTCAAGCCTTTGTCTAAGCAATTGCTCCAACTACTTCTTAAGGAGCTGGTTTCAATATGACAAGTGCTGAACATATTAGCCAAGAGAGTTGGCTTTATGGCAGATTTAGTCTAGATAATTTATAGTTCTCAGCTAGACCTCAGCTTTAACTGTTGCAAAGCACAAACATCTGTAGTTAAACAATTAGAATGTAAACTCAAATTTTTTTCAGGGGCAACTATGAGACTATATCCTAATTCATTTAACATAGGCACATTTGGCATCCAAAGCAGGAGTGGATTCATCAGGATGGGAGGGAAAAACAGCTATATTATCTTGTCTTTCCAGTATTTTATCGTATAATTATCATGTTCTCCAAATTTGATAGGAATATTTGGATAATTTTATCTTCTATTGTTCACTTTTCCATGTTTCCCCAGAGAAATCCCACATTTGGACTTTTTTTCTAGATATGTTGTGTTTTGCCCAATTTCTGTATCAATTTATATGGGTAGCAAAAAAATTCCATATAAAATATTTGTATATATTTTGTATATATCTATTTCATACTTTTCTGTATTGTGTAAAATGTATTTTGCATATTTTTGCAGATAATTTTTGTGTAGCAAAATGCACTTTTATTTTTTTCCTAACAGATGTATTATTTCATATATTTCTCGAGTTTTGGATTGTGTCACAATTTTCTAAAAAAGTATGACTTCAGTAAGTACATTTTTCAGGTATTCTTATTTAATCAGGAGCTTTGAAATCAGTATGTTCTTGGAGCTCTGTCCTTTGAGAGCACTCTTTTGATACTATAGTCCAGCAGATCAATCTTGTATATGGCTTATTCAGAAACAAACATCTCCGTGGCCTAGTCCCACATAAATAGGTTCTGAAGTATTGCTCTTGTACTCTGTCTACTACCTGAACTTTTTATTAAGGTCAAACTATATATTACAATACACAGTATGCAACTATGTTTTTTTAAAATTTAACATAAGCTTAAAGGAGGAAAAGGAAAAGGAGGCTGTATTTTTTTCACAGACGATTTAAAAAAAACAAAAACAAAAATTATCCACTAGTACAATGGAAAGTATCTGTTTTATCCCCTGAAGTTTATAACTGATTTAGTCAAGAGAAAATCTGAAGAACTTTGTCAAGACAACCCCAGTATCCATGCTCCCAATTTAAGTTTAAAATAAAAACCAAAGTTTAAATGTCTTACCATACAGTTACTCAGGCCACACAATAAATCAGATATACTCAAGATGGGATTTCAACTGAATATAATTTATTCTGTCTATAGGCAATACAATAGTGCCTATTGTATCACTATATCATGGGACGTATTCTCCCAGGACCTGCAAAATGCTCTACAGATTTATTTATTTAAAGTTAACAATGATTTATTTTTCTTACATTTTTCTCAATATGGAAGAGGGAGGAGGAATTCAGAAGGATATGTTGCTTTCAGCCATCTACTTTTGGGTCCTTTGTGAATCCAGAGAGATACAGGAAGCAACTAGAGACTAGCACTAACTAGTAGCTAGTTAGTGATAATAGAGTAACTGAGCAGGAGAGATTTAGAACTACAGTAAATCTCTCCTGGTCAGTTGTTCTATTGTCACTAACTAGCTACTTAGAACTGTATTTTTTATGGGATTCATTTACAATCCTGCCTTAATTCACCAGGACCCTAAGAGGTGTGCAACATTACAACAATACAAACACATTTAAATAAAAACAATATAATTAAATAATGCAATTAAACAATACAATTAAATAATATACATTGATACACATTAATAATAAAACCATTCTGACACCAGTGATTCCCCACATGCCTTCTGAAAAAAAAAAACAGTTTTTACAACCTTCCAAAAGGCCATGAACATAAAAGCCACCCTCACCTCAGGAGGCAAGCTGTTCCAGAATGAGCTGGGAAAATGGAGATGACCCTGGAGACTTCTGAGTGATTAGATATAATAGAAAGGAATGGGCAGATAGAGATAGGGAGACTGAGAAGCAATCTCATCTGGTTGGGTGGAGGATCTGTCTATGGATACAGGGTGTGGCATTTTTATGTCCATTTAAAAGACATTTAGTGTGCAGTGATGATCCAGAAAAAAGTGAGATGGCTAAATCATGTGGCTAAGAAAATGGAGTAAGAGTCTGAGGGTGATCTCATGAGATCAAGAACTGGGGTTTAAACAAGTGGTTTGGTGCCTTGGAGCTTGTTATCTTACCCTTACCTTGTATTTGTTACTTCTGTTTTAGCATCATTAGTTTGCCTTCCTGTGAAATGTGCTTGTTTTATAAAAAAAATTGAGACTTCAAATGTGTGTTTTAAGGCATAGATTTTTCCAGGGCTCATATTAAATTGTTGCCAGGCAAGAGGACACTTTTAGCCTCAACAATCTGTCTTTCTGTAAAATGGATTTCTGTAGAAGCAGAAAAGTGGGTTCCAAGGCTATTTTCTGTGGAACTATCTTCTCTCAGACCAGCAGGCAGTTTTCTAGCTTTGTCTCCAGAATCAGTTCTTTCTCCTTGTTTGCAAACACACATAAGTACACAATACTGACAGCTTCTCTCCAATACCTGTAATATTTGCTAACTCTCAAGGAATTAAAACCTAAGGGGGGGGGGGGAGAGAGAGAGATGTATGTACGTATGTATATAGGATTCTTCAGCCTACCCCCTCCATGTGCCTTAGCCTACATCTGCACACTTTTAGATCCATTCGTGAACTAGTGGCAAGATGTATCCCCTTTGGGGATTTAACTTCTACCGACTCGTATCGGTAGTCGTATGGTTAATGTTAATATTGAACATTCAAAATGTTAGCAAGCCACCCTTCTTGCTTCGCTTCCCTCCCGCGCATTTTTCCATCTTCTAGGTCAACTGAACCTTTTCTATTAAATCCTCTTTTAATACCTCACCTTTCAGTCCATTAAGGAAACAGAGGCAACTCACTTGACATGGACCCTTAAGGAAGCATCCAAGCGAATTACTTCGCCTCAACGGCTGCTAGGTTTACATGACTAAAGCCCCTTCCCCCCCCCCGTATTCCCCTCAGCCGCAGTGGTACTAGCAATGCGCAGGCGCACCGACAGCCGCCGCCGCCGGCTCTGATGGGCGTTGGGGGATGGGAAGAGAGAAACTTAGGAAGGCTAAGCAAGTCCGCGCGCGCGTCTCCCTCCAGCCAAGCGCGTCTCCATATTAACTCCTCCCCTCGCAAAGGAGCGCGAAAGATCCTTCCTTCGCCACTTTATTGGCTGAGGCTAATGAAAGAGGTGGGACTTGGAAAAAAAGATCCGCCTTCCCAAATAATCATCTGCGTCTACCATCCTTCTTCTGTCTACTGTACTCTGCTATAATGCTATCCAGCGCTTTTGAGCTTTTTTTAAAACAAATCAGATCGAGTCACTTAGAAAGAAAATGGAAGGATGAAAATAAAAATGTGAGGCGTCTTGCTATTGGTCCGTTGATGACTACGTAATTCTCTAAAGGTTTTCTCGCACTTCCTCTCCCTTGTGATTGGCCAATGGGTAGCAAGTCTTTGGAAGGGGGCAGGTGTTAAGATTCGGGAGTTCTGTTAAGGAAGAGTTCCCTGATTGGTCGAAAAGATAAGCAGGTTCAGACGAGAGCGAGCGCGCCCCCTTGCCGCGTCTGGCCGGCTAGGAACGAATGAGCGCGCGCTCCTGAAAAAACTCGTCTAGCCTGTTAGGAGGGCACGCGCGCGTGCTGTATGGTGCTACCTATTGCGGGAGCGCGCCGTGAGGGGAGGGGGAGCCGGAGCATCTCTTTCACACGCGCGGCGGCAGCGGCTCCTCCTTTGTTCACCCCCACCCACCGCTCTAGAGCTCTCGGGCCGCCTGGCTGGCGGGGGCCGGCACGGTAAGGTGGGGGGAGAACGTTGATCGCGCACGCGCGTGGATGAATGAATGAGTGAGTGAATGAGTGACCGTGTGAACGCATGAGAATGAATCGGGAGGCTGCGGGGGGCAACCTCAGCAAAATCAGCACGTCCTGATCGGATGTGGGGGCGCCGTAATTTTCCTCTCGGAGCCGGAGTCTCATCTCTGCGATCGGCTTTGAGGGTAAGAAGGTAAAGGCAGGCGGGGGTGTGCCGTGTCCGCCTCTTTATGCCCCCCCCCCCGAGCATCCTTTCCTCTCTCGCCCCCCAGCCCTCCTACCGGCATACAATACTTCCTCCGTCCCCCACCCTAGCCTTTGCATCCTTTTTGGTACTTCTAAGCATCCTTGTTATTGATTTTTCAAGCTCTTTGTGGGAATGGATTCCTTCCTGGCGTGTCCTATTTAGGCTTCAGTAGTTCATTTATTATTCATTTTATATCCCTGCTCTTTGACATTTCTCAACTTATTTTTCCCCAGATTTCCAGCACAAACCTATTAGTAAGCTGTAGGGGAAAATGGAATTGGAAAAATGTAGAGTTGGGTTATATAATTTATTGAATTAATATGGCAACACGGAAAATCAGATTAATTTTTGCCGATCACAATGTAAACTTTATGTTCAGAAATATTTCAGAATGATAGTGAATGATAGCTTGGATCTCAGAGTCTTGGATTAAATACTCAACATGTAAATTCACTTCCCTTTGTTCATAGTCCTTCCCTGATATTGCTCATCTTCTTCTGTTGTCTCTTTTCACCTTTTGTACTATTGGTCTTTCTTCCATCCTACCATTCTGCAGCCCCACAAAGCAAAATCCCCAGAGTCTGTGCTTGCACTGCTCCTCTGCTGTATCCCTAGCTAGTCCATTGGTTCCAGCAATGGTGAGGAGAAAGTAGATTGTAGTCTGCTTGTATACCACAGTTTTAATGGATCATATACTGCTCTCTGGATGCTGAGATTATTGTAAACCATGTTGGACCAGGCAGGCCTTATTAGTAAGGGTTATCTATTGCTCTTACAAAAGAATGCTTATTCAGGATTGCTTGATACATTTTTCACTATTTTTAAGGGATCCTGCTGATTCTTTAAAACACAGTAGTTGATTGGGAGAATTCTGGTTTTGTGATGTTTAAAGTTGACTGTACACAAGTAAAGTTAGTCCATGCATCACTCCAGCTGCCTCCTTCACATTTTCTATCTCAAGGACTAACTCAGAGAGTTCTCCAATATGGCTTTTCTTCCAGCTACCTTTGATGTTGTCACTTCATCCCCTGATGGTCTTGGTTTTCATTTTGCTGAAGAATAATCCAATTTTCCTCAACCCATCCTCCCCCCCGGTGCCTTATTTCTAATTTCTATGGTTCTAGTCTTTGGTTCTGTGGTTTTTCCCACTGTTTTTAGCTTTGGTACTATTTTCCTAGTATTGCCTCATCCAAGTCTTATCCTCTTTCTTTAGGGAATGTCTATGTGTGTTGTTCCTCTTTTTCTTGTCTCCACTTTCCTATGGGCTAATTACAGCATTTTAAAGGGGTTTGGACTAAATCTGTTCAGCAAAAGGGGGTTAATAAAGATGTTATGTAAGACCCATCTCTGGTCCCTTGTAATCAAGGAATGGAAGTGCTTTCTACTTTACCCTCATTCTTTTTCTTCCAATCCCATTCCCTTATTTCTGTTCTGCTTTCCTTCCATTCATATATTCTTCTTCCTTCCTGACAGCCATTCACCAAGTTCTCTTCTCATCCTTAAAAATCTGGAGAACATGATCATGCTTTTGTGCAAACAAAGGCCAAATGCTGCACAAATTTCTCACTTTTCTGCTCTGCTCTTCTTGGAAGCAGTCAGAAATGCCAATCCAGTCTGAGGATGAGATCTGTGTAAGGCTTCCAAGAATACAAGAAAAAGCATATAGCCCTTTCAGATAATGCTAAAGGATGAGGCTCTAGAAATACAAAATAAATCAGGGACCATGCCTTTAGCCCTACTCCAAGATGGCACAGCTCTTCTGGTCTCCTCGTGTGGTGGGGGTAAAATTCAAAGACATCTTCATTTACAGAGACTTTCCCTCTCATTAATGACCCAGATTTTCCAGGGTTAGGGTCCTTTATTCCCTGGTGAACCAGCATAGATATTCTTCTCAATTAAAGAGCCTGGGATTGTGCAGTCTCGAGCTGGACTGAATATGTGGCCCTACAGATAAGCTGCATTTGTGGAAGCTCTTTATTAACAGCTGAAGAGGGGTCTTAGGAGTTCCTCTCAAGGTGTTTTGATATTCCCCGATATACTGCTCAGAATAATTGTGCATTTCCACTCAGAAGTCCTCTGTAAATAGTGAGGGAATTTATGTGCTTCCACATGCTCAAGATTGGCCAACTGATGCCAGAAGTGCAAAACCTGAGGCTCCAGGCTGCAGGTAGGCTCCAGATGTGTTAGATATAACCCCCATAAGCCTCCAAAAGTTGCCACGTTAAAAGTATGATTTGATAAATAGACAAAATGATTAAATACATGCCTGTAGAGTAATTGAATTAACTATATTTCATTTTAATTAAATGGATTTAAAATCAAATTTAGCTTTTTTCCCAGTCCTGCCTATTACTTTCCAAAGTAATTCCAAAGAGGAATTACTTTCCTCAGCACACTGCTTAAAGAGATCAGACATGGCCCTTGGCCCAGAAAAAGCTGGACCCTACTGCCTTCTGCTTGCTTTCCAACTACTTCCAACTAGTCTGGGAGCCTAGCATGAGGTGCGAATGTCCCATGGTCTCTTCTAAAAACAACAAAAAGAGGATCTTTTATTTTACCCTTTGCAACTGAGGAGAAATAGGAAGCAGGCAAAATAAGGTGCATCTGTTCACTTTATGATTGCAGTCTGGAAGTCATGGTTGCTTCGTACCTAACACAGAGCTGAAGGATTTGCCTCATTCCTCCCCTTCCAGCACCAGAAGGACATCTTGGCCTCCTGGGGAATGTTCTAAAGCACCTAACTGTTTCTAGCAATTGTATTCTGCTTTTCTTTTTCTTTTTTTCTTCATCTGCAGGTAGACTGGTCTCCTAAGCCTGGGGATTCTTATCATAGCTCCTGATGACTCTCAAAGGCAACATGCTTTTTCTCTCAGCTGCTCTTGGCTCTGTTTTCCACCTCTTGCTTACCTTGAGGAAACCTTCCCTTCTTATTTATCTCTCCCCATCTTGTTTTATTTATTTGTATTTATGAATTTATAAACTGTTCCAGTTGAGACGAAACTAAGTGATGTATAAAAGCAGCAGCCGCAGCAGCAAATGGGGACATTGTTCTGTGCTCGGACAGTTTTTCTTTCTTCTGTCTTCCACAGGAAGATTTTCTCCTTTGCTCCTGTTGTGTTCCTCATTCTTTTCCCTGAATACTTTATCATAATGAGGTAAACAGTCTGGCAAGGTAGAGCCTTTTGGAAAATGAAACATTTCCACTATTTCCTTCATAATTTATACTGTATTATTTTGGCCCCAAAATAAGACATAACAATATTGAGTGCATTTGCTCTTGCGCTTAAAGGCAAAGAAGCATTTTAAAATGTTTTGTTTTTTGACTAAATGCTGTCATGATGTTCAAAATTGTGCTAACCATGGTTGGGCTTAACTATGGTTAGTGAAAACAAGTCATTTTCAAACTATAACTTATATATTAGGTTGTTTCCACTAAAGTTGAATCAAGACCAATTTAAGATTCACACATAGTGCTAAACACTATTTAATCTGAAATGGAAGTGGAAACTTGATTCTGTATAATCCTGACGCTATTCTAGGATTTACAACTAACCTGCCAGATTAGTTAAATAAAGAGATTGAATTAAATTACTAAAAGCAAACAAAAATAAATAATTTTTCTACTGCCATCTTTATAAGACTATAATTTACTACTCCTTTATTTTTTATTTTGTGCCTTCAAATCAGCATTGACTCCTGGCAACTGCCTGGACAAGTCCTTGCAGTACTGCTACTAGTACTACTACTAACCCTTCTGTAAACTTTCTTGATGATTGTTGGGGTAAATTCACAAAGACCCTTAAAAAGTTTCACTCAAGTTCAGAACTCAAATCCTGTTGCCCAAATATTTTAAGGCTTTCCAAAAAACCTGTTGTGACTGATTACATAAAATGGATGAGATTCTTTTGATTAAAAGATCAGAGATCCACCACTATGGAATCCTTTAAATAACTATATAATCTAGACGATTTACAGATAGTACTTGCTTTATCTGGAATCAGGCTGGAGTTTATTCCCATTCCCTCTGCAATATTTATTCGTTGTTGACAGGTTGGTTCTCTGTGATTAAGTCACTAACTCAGTAACATTCTCTATCATGCCATTCCTTGAACTGGACAAATTTATCCTCTTACTTGATTAGTGGATGAACAAGGAATGGGATAAGAGAAGATGGACAGGAGAAAAATATGTTTCCATCTTATCCAGGCTTCTGAATACAGTTTTAAATTTGTATTTAAGTGGTTTTTATTCATTTCTTATCATCCAAAAGAAATGGTAAATCTTGTTCTTTTTTTATACTTACAAATACATGATGATATTCCTTGTAGTCTATCAGATCACTTAGAAGGTTTTGGTATTGGAAGTATCTGAAAAAGAAACAAAAAATTGGAGGAATAGTCACTCACCTCTTCCTGTTTTCCTACTCATGATGAAGAATGATGTTGCCAAGTTTTAAATTCTGTTCTAAGCAACAATTGAATTGCAGCAAATGTTTTGTGATAATTATTTCTAAATATTTAAATCCACTAGGGCTAACATGTAAACCAGTTGCTCCTGTAGTGCTCTACAGTATTAATTTATAGATAAATGATAAAATGTAAAATTATACATATGCCTAACAATATATATGCAAACAGTTTTATAATTTTCTGTGAATATTAGAAAATATATAGAAGTGCTGCATAAAAATCCACTCGGTTTCTATAAACCCAGATTTATCATTGAGAAACTCCCAATGAAACTATCATTGAAACAGTGCTCTTCTAAAGTGAGGAAAATTGCATTGACAGAAAAATTAACTTGCCAATAAAAATGTTTTAAAATCCTATAATAAAAAAAATAGATTTACTCAAATGTGGATACCATTTATTAGTGATATTACTAAGGTTCTTCCTAATAATTTCCCCTACTGGTACAGATACCATTTTGAATTAATACAGTAAATATTAATGCTTAATATTTGTACTTTCTTCAATTATATACATATTAATACTCCCAGGGTAACAGCTTCACTTTTTTTCCTTTTTTTTTTTTTGGTTCTTCTTTTTCTGTTTAGTTTATTCTGGCAATTTGGGGTTTTTTTTATGTTGATATTGTATTTTGTTAATAAAAAAAGCAATATTTTTAAAGTAATCTTCTGTAGAAAAAAAATCCAATTCTAAAAATGCTTTGTTTCAGAACATTAATAGTATAATGAATGCAATCAAATTAAGTAATCCCAGTTAAGCTTTTCTAATCAGTATCCTTGGGAAGCATCTAGATAAGCAGAATAATCTTAACGTGTTAATTGGAGCACCTGATCTCACATTTTCAAGCAACTTTCCAACAATAGACTGCAGGTTGGATGATGTCAGCAGCACCTGAGGGGGCAGAACGACAAAGGTAACAAGCGTCAAACCATACGAAGTGAGCCCCGCCTCCTTCTGTACATGCGTTGAGACGTCGCATGCACATCCAAAAAAGGCGGAGCTTGCAGCATGATGCTACTTTTGTCATCTTAATAAAAGCAAGATCCTGCAGATGCCCGTGCCCATGGCTCTCCCTCCCTGTGTGGAGGGGAAAGGTTCACCTCCATGGGAAAGCATTTATTGTTCAACTTTAGCAGGCATGCCTGGGAGCCGTTGGTTTCAACAGATCTTCAGCCAGCCGCTACTGAGACATAGCCTTTGAAAGCTTTTGGAGACTGGGCATTCCCGGCTTGGGAAAAACCACTTTTAGGAAGGGGAAAACCAGGGTTGGATTTCTCCCATCCAGATTGGAAATCTCCCTTCTGAATGGACCCTTCCCACACTGGCTGGGGAATTCTGGGAGTTGAAATCCAAGTGTCTAAAAGTTGTAAAGTTTAAAAACAATTTTTCTAAAAAAAGCCCGGCCCCCCCCCCCAAAAAAAAAGGCTGGAGAAAACTCTAAGGCACTTCTAG